GTCAGAAACAAGTGAGTTTTACGTAAGGCCAAGAAGCTCAGTGTGGAACCACTCACAGGCTGACAGGCCCAGCCCAGAGAGCCTCCACCACCCCCAGCTCCCACAGCAGCCCCCTGGGATGATACACCCTGACCTTGGGCATGGCAGTTCCACACAGTACCTGGAGCTGGATTCCAGCTGCACAGACCCAGCTCCCCAGCCACTCTGCCTGATGCCCTGTTGGTGGCAGGGACACTTTCCATAGACCAAGTTGCTCCAAGGTCCTTCCAACCTGGCCTTGGACACTTCCAGGGATGGGGCAGCCACAGCTTCTCTGGGCAACCTGTGCCAGGGCCTCACCACAATCATCACAGCTACCAAAGATCAAACTTTCCAAAAACTGAACGTCAGATGTGAGAGCTGAACACAGAAACTGAAGCATCCATAATTAACAGATATATTTTTAAACAGTTCTTAACACAACTGTATCTTACTTTCCCCTCAGTAAAACAGGACAAATAACGAAGTCAGTGACAGTAGGCTGCAGTTCATAATACTCTAAGTCCATTTACATTTGTACAATTTACACACTCAGGTTTATCTTGCATAATACATTCAGCCTGACCTTTGGGCTCTCTGGGCAGGTTGTGCTTTAGTTACACAACAAGAGACTAATATCTTTTGTTTTCTTTAGCTGTAGATTTAAATGCCACTGTACCTCTATTATATCCCTTTCAGTTGGATAATTCAGTCAAATGTCTATTGCCAGGCTGAGCTGCCACACACAAAAACATACTCAAGGAAAGAAAGAACAATTTTTTTTTTAAAGAGATCATGCATTTATAGGAACTTTATGTGGGGTTTCACAACAACCTCGCAGGTAGCTGCCAACAGTAAATTAAACTTTAAACAAACAAGCAATGTAGCTTATCCTGTTATGCCTGTTGATTAAGCACTGGTACTATAGCAACTGTTCTATGTTACTTTTTTAATCCAGAGTTTGCATTTGAAACCACCAGATTCCACCAATTGTGACAAGTACCGATTTGTGGTATCACCCAGCAACTGCATGTCAAGGCAGAAGAGAAACTCAGTCCAATTCCTTTGCATTCACTGCCTTGCATCTAAGAATTCCTGGACCATACAACTAAGTTAAAATGCAGCTCCCACCTGAGCACAGTGATGCGGCAGCTTCTGTTGCACAGATGTCTCTGTACAGGTATTTTCTCATTTGAATTATAAACAGGCTGGTCCTCAAAAATGCTGAATTAAATTCAGAGTTCAAAAGGGGCATTGGAGAAATAAGGAAATATGTTGGGCCTGAACCAAAGCCAATTAAAGCACTGGAAAGAACGCAAGTGGATTCACTAGGGTTTGGCCATGCCATGCTGCCTGGAGGAGCCTTCGCACCAGCCCCAGAACCCTCTGTGGCCACAAACACCATCACAGACAGCGCCTCAGGAACAGGCAGGGACACTCCAGCAAAACGAACACTTGTCCCATTTGGTCTCTGCTTTCTGCATGTGGTATCAACAAAAGGGGAACAAAAGTTCTTGTCTGAGCAGTTTTCTCCCAGACTCCAATATTTAAGAACCACACAAAAATGTCACCTCTAAAACCTCTCCAGCAGGCAGAAGTGCAGAACTGACAAAATCCATTTTAAGAAAACACACAGCAAAGGGAAAGCACCAGCCTTAGCCAGCTCTATACAGCCTGTGTGTCACAGCCATCACATCCCTTTTCTGGGTACTCCTGAGACTCCTTTTTCTCTGCCCATTTATCCAGTCCATTCTTCTCTTCAAAATGCTGGGGTTTTATTAGAATTACAGGCAATTTTCCTGGCACAGAACCTAGACTGACTGATCTGTAGTTTCCATGAGTAGATCTGAAGCTCTTCTCAAGATGAGTGTCACGTTTGTTTGTCTGGCATCACAGCCAGTGACAACATGTCACTGTCAGGTCAGTAATTTTATATTTACAGTTATTTAGAATTCTATGATGCTATGATCATTGCCATTATTATTATTATTAACAGTATCTTTGTTCTCAGCTGGCATCTTACCCGAAGCACTGTGTGTCACAACGATTTTTAAGACCACTATTCCTTGGTTGGAAGGATAAGAAGGCAAAGCCACAGCAGGCATCCTACATGTTTTGCAAAGCAAATCTTCACAGTTAATATTTCACAGTGCAATTAAATCACCAAATAAATGATCTGAGAGAGGACCAAGGCATCAGTTATTGATTAGCAGAGTCACAGGGGATCGTGGTCTCTGTGCTCTCTACCTGGCACCTGTCTGCCATTCCCTCCCTAAGGAAGCCCAGCCACACAACCAGACATGGAACTCGGAGCAAAGGGACACCTGTTCTGCTACTGATTTCTTGTGTGGACATGAGCAAGTTCTATCATTGCTTCTTTACTCAGAGCATTGCCCAATACACCAGGATGTGCCAAATTTTGTCATGGAGACCTGCAGAGATTCTCCATTTCTCACTATTTGTCCTTGATATCAGCTCGGGCAAGTCTGGATTCTCCGAACTCGCGACCTGCAGGTCTGGAGCCGGCCAACGAGGGAATGACCTGCAGCCCCCGGCGCGGCTCCCGCGGCTCCATCACCCCTGCGCTGGGGGAGGCGTTACCTGGACGGCACAGTCGGGGGCCCGGGCGCTCGCTCCGGGACCCCAGGGTGTGTGGGGCAGGTCGGGGCATCCACACCCCCTTACCCCCAGCCCACGGCCGGCGCGGGCTGCAGGGATGCGCCGCTGGTGGCCCCGGCCCTGTCACTATTCCCCGCAGAGCTGACAGGCCGAGACGCGACTGCGGGCGCACCCGGAGCTGCCCGGGCCCGGGACCGCACGGCCCCGCGGACCCCGCGCCCCCGCGCCCCCGCCCACTCACCGGGCTGCGGGGCGCTCATGGCGGGCGGACCGGCGCTGCCGCCGCGTCCCGGGCGTCGCAGGAGACGGCGGGAGGGAGGGAGACAGGGAGAGGGAGGGAGTCAGGGAGAAGGAGGGAGGGAAGAAGGGAGCCGGCGCTCCGCCCGCCACCCCCGCTGCCCCTTGGCGTCACAGAATCACAGAATAGTTGGGCGTGGAAGGGACCTCTGGAGATCACCCAGTCCAACCCCCCTACCCAGGAAGGGTCACCTGGAGCAGGTAACACAGGAACATGTCCAGGAGGGGTTGGAATGTCTCTAGAGAGGGAGATTCCACACCCAGCCTGAGCAGCTGTTCCAGGGTCTGCCACCTCCATGGAAAGAAGTTTTTCCTCGTGTTGAGGTAGAACTTCTTGTGTTTTGGTTTATGGCCATTGCTCCTCCGCATCCTGTTGCTAAGAAGAATCTGGCACCATCCTCTTCGCACCCACCTTGGATGTATTCGTAGAAGTCAATGAAATCCCTTCTCAGCCTTCCCAGGCCCAGCTCCCACAGTCTCTCCTCATTAGAGATGCTCCAGACCCCTCATCATCTTTGTGGCCTCCACTGGACCCTCTCCAATAACTGTTGTCTTTCTTGTCCTGAGGAGCCCAGAACTGGACACAGCACTCCAGATGTGGCCGATGTGCCACTCTGTCACCGCCTCGGGGACACAAGACACCGCCGGGGACAGGCCCTGGCACAGACCCACAGCCCTGGACCCAGGCTGGCAAGGGGGATGAGTCCCAGCTGAAGCACAAACTCACAGGTGATGTTTCCAGGGGCCACAGAGCAACTGATCTGAGTGGAGATCCCCATGATGAGGAAGACCAGGGACAACCTTCCCTTATGATGCACCCTCAGGCCTTCTGTGGCATGATCCACCCACACTCAATATTGATCTGCCTTCTGTAAAGGGAGCAACTATTAAGAACATCAATATTCTTTTCATATTTTATCTTTCCAGCCCTATAATTGAAGTCTCATTAATTTTTTGTACCATCCTGCACCACAGGAAGAAGTCAGGAACAGATACAGGGGAAAATTACAAGGGAGAGGGGATGGCATTTTTAACGACTAGAAAGCATAGACAGCATTTGTTTTGGGCACATTGAGATTAACCAAGAGCAGCTGCTTTTCAGAACAATTCCACTCTTTTCTGTTTCAGAAACACATAGAACAGCAGTTTCCAGACTCTGGCATTGTATGCAACTCCTTGCTTTGAACCCCAAACCTCTCCTACAGATGCCAAGGCCAGCACAAACAGAAGAGCCTGTGCAACCTTTCCAACCACCCACAGCAGCACCAAGCAGCCTGCTACTGGGAACCACTGCCTCCAAAATCCATCCAATCAAATAGGAGAAGCTACTCAACAACCTGACCGAATTATTCTGCCCAATTCAATTGTCTGAGATCCCCATCCTCTTCCTCCATCCTTTTCTGCATTGCCAAGGGGCAGTATGTCCCAAAAAGAGAGCCAAACCAAGCACTCTCCAGGCTAACATTCTCTAGATGGGTGGCTTGCACAGATCAGACACACCTCAGTCCTACTTCATTAGTTCTATTCACACTACTTTTCCCAAAATTAAAACAACCCCTTCCATTGGTACAATACATCACAAATGGACAAAAGAATAAACGTTACATGACATTCCTTCACAAGTCTGTCTCAGTCCTACTGTGCCATTCTGCCAGATCACCTGGCAAAGAGCAGCAGCAATGTGATAACACAGAACTGCTCTGACACCTTCTGGTGACAAACCCTGTGACAAACACAGCCCCTGGAGACAGCAGCAATGAGGACAGACCTGAGAACTGTTCTGAATTTCACTTCTAAACGTCAGCCACAATGCAGAAGCAGCACTAAGCATCTTTGCAGGAACAGATACAGGGGAAAAATTACAAGGGAGAGGGGATGGCATTTTTAACGACTAGAAAGCGTAGGCAGCATTTGTTTTGGGCAAAACCATCACCTCCCACTCATGTAATACCTCGACTAAATTAAAAAGCTGAATCAAAAATAATATTTAAACAAACACATACAGAGTATAAGGAAAATATATACTTTTACATGCACATGATCAATCATTAACCATTATTTTTAACCTCTATTTAGTATTTCGATATTAAAAGATGTTTTATTTTCTCTAACAACATTATCAAGCAGGTTCCCAACACACCATCACTGCTCAGGCTGCATTCTGCCCCAGTGAACAGGAACAGGAACAGTCAGCACCTTTCACCTGGATAAGCAGCTGAGAAACTACCTACTCACATCACTTACACCAGGTGAATCACTCTTAAACCTTCACATAGAAAGGCAGCTCCCTACTCCTTGGGGAAGTGCAACAAACAAGGAAACTAACTCTGTTCCCCTGGGGCAGCCTGGAGGGAGGAAGGATCCCACTGCACCCAGGCAATGGATTTAAGGTTTGTGAGAACAAGAGACAATGACTCAGTGTAATGGCACAGTCTGCCCACTCCAGAGAATGAGGCTCAGGAATTTCACAGGAAGTCTCCATGCCACAAGAGCCATGCAGCCCTGCTCTCCATGCAGCCAGGGACCCAGGAGACTTTAATAAAGGTCACAGCAAGAACTGAAATCCTCACAACCAGCCATTTACCATCCAGGAATAACTATCATCAGTTCCAGAGAGGAATACCAATATGGATCTGCAGAGTGACAGTCCCTGTGGATGAGCCAGGACACTGTCACCTCAGACCCTGAGGCAGGCACAGCCAAGTGAAAGTACCTCTGCTCCAAACAGTTCATGTTTGAGAGATTCTACCCATCTTTTGAGCTGGAAAATGAACTATTTTGTCAGTAAAAGCTTTTATTTCAAGTAAATTGTGTGACAAAATTTAAGACCAATTTTGTGGTTAAAAGAATTTACAGTTCTAATTAACACACACAGCAAGTTATTTAATTTTGTGTATCTGTAAAAAGCAGTTTCATTCTGCACTACTTAGAGTGGCCTAACTCTGCCTTCACACAGAACATGATACCAAACTCTGCCTTCCCTTGCAGCACCATGCCATGCCAGCAGGGAAAATTTATTATTTACACATCAGTCAAAAAAGCTACCAAAATTACTTTACAGTAAATGAAACTCTGCTCATTACAAAAAGAATCAGCTTGTTAATTAATTCATGTAAGTGAGCATTTTCTACTGTCAAACCTGATCAAAAGTATGCTTATAACATACATTCAATGAACCATGTAAGCAAAGGTGCAGTTAAAGCAGCTACAAAATAAATGGAAAAAGGTTCTCCTTTATAGAAGGAGCACCATCTTCCCTCGGGCACCACTGCTACAAATAATGTCTTCATGAGCCTTGGCTACTTTCTCCAGGGGATATTCCGAGCCCACAGTGGGTTTCAGCCAGCCAGCTTCTATGCCATCAAGGAGTGCCGTGGCACATTCATGCCTCTCCTCCTGCATGTAACAAACACAGCATTCACAACAAGGTCTTTGCATTTTAGAATTGCATTGACAATTTATTCAAGCGTTAAACCAAATTCCACAACCCAAAAATATTTTACTATGTTCTGAGATTGAATCAAAACATAAAGAAATGAACGAACAAGTTAGTTAAAGTGAAATTATGCTTTCATCCCTACAAAGGATTTTAACTTGAAATAGAGGAGTGCTGGAACAAGCCAACAAAGCATACTTTAAAACAGAAATGTTTCTCACCTCAGTTGCAAGAAACAGACTCACTCCAATTATGCTTGACTCCTTGCTCATAGTGTCTCTTGGGTTTATCTCAATGTGTCCTCTGCAGCCCACAACCTGCCCAAACAAGTCCAAAATAAGAGCTGTACAATTGTGATGCAGAATGCACAGACTAAGGCAGTGACTCCAACACCCACCATGACCTCCCTGCTCAGGGACACAAACACTCACCATCATCCTCTGGGCAGGGACACACTCACCATCACCCTCCCTGCATGGGCCAGCAGCTGCAAGTCGGCATCCAGGTTGACATTGGAGAGCATTTCTATGATGATATCCACTCCCCCCGGCCCTGTGCACTCCTGTACAAGACACAGGATGTTATTTTAGTGCTCAGGTACGACTGTTTATTTCATACACTACAGGAAACATCCATTTTACAGGCTATTGTTTAAATTTTCAATACAGCCTCTGTTCTACAGCTGACAGCTAATGAGCTGAACTGTAGCACATTTTGCTGTGCTGACTATGGTGTGCTCCCACACTGGAATTTGCTGAATGTTAGTTCTAAATGACACTGCCTGTGAGGAAAGCTCCCAGCTTTTCCAGCCTGGGAAAGTTTTATCTTGTGTAGAAATTGAAAAGGCAGTACACTATTGCTCCTACATAAATCCCCTTTAAAATCTTCAGCAAACAACTGCTTGTTTGTTAGTACCTGCATCCTCTAGCCTTGACATCACGCCTACCTTAATTCTCTCAATGTAATTAGGGTCTCTGTGATTAAAGGCTTGGTGAGCGCCGTTTCTCAGGATCACGTTCATGCCCTCCTCAGTTCCTGCTGTACCCAAAACCTTCAAACCACAAGCTCTGGCAATCTGACATGCTGCTAGTCCCACCTGAGGAGAGAGAAAAAAACAAAAGAGAAAAAAAGAAAACTAAAAAAGAAAACTATTTTACCCATTTAGCATTTTAAATTTTAATTATTCTACCAGCCAATTGGAACTTCCCTATTTAAAAAGTTGGTTTGGTAACATGTGTTTTAACCATAATAAGTAATTTGGATCTTAAAGACAGAAAAATAGTCTTTCAAAAAGGACAAAGATTTAAAGAAGCATGGTAAAGTTTTGATCCTTTTTAACAGTTATCAGCATTTGATATAAATCAATGTAGAATGTTGTCTATCTGTCAAAGCTGGGCCAAACATTTTTGATGCAAAGCCAGGGAAATTCTTCTCTTCACAGAATCATCTGCTATTGATACCAGCATTATACATTGCAAAGAAAATCTGCAGGCACAAATTTTATTAAAACCACTTCTGCACCTTTCACAAACAAATTAAATTATCTCTTTCTAAAGCAAATTCTGTCTTCTACCAGCTTTGCACTCCAGTAAGAACAGAAGCACCACATTTAGTTCATGAAAATAAAGAGGCAATGATGCTGAATGCCATCCTAGTATCTCAGAATAGGATCTGAATTTACCTTTTTGTTGTCTAACAAATATTTAAAGAAACTTTGAAACTTTGCCTGTTCATAGCAGCTGTTTGGTGCATCAGCAGAAACTGAGCAAGAAAGGGTACAGTGTGGGACATAAATTAAACTAGAATGTTATGTGAGAGAGATCTAAAATTAGCCTGTCATGTAAAACTAAAGAAAATTAGAAGTGCAATTTCACATAGTATTCAGTCACAGCTTTATCCATTCCAGTGCCTCTCCCTGTGCAGCTGGCTGTCAGCTCACAGGTAGAAACATCCCAGAAACACACAGTTGCCCTGCACCGCTGATTCCTTCTCAGAGGACTCAGAACAACTGGTACATATTGGAAAATTACAGCTTTCTGTTATCAGTTTTGCCTGAGTTAGACCTACTACAAAGCTTCCACATCAACTTCCATCTGTTCAGCGTGTGACCCTCTGATTGGGGACCTCACACCAGCACTTGTACAGTTTCACAGTTATTGTGAATAACAGAGTTTGCTCTAAGCAAGTGTATCCCAGAGTGTCTGAAATAAACACCTAATCTGCTAATCCCTTTATTGATCTAAATGTGACCATAACTCATACCCCAAGCAGATGCAAGGACAGAGAGCAGCATTCCCTATCACCTGCCTCCTTGGAACACTTACCCCGCCACTGGCACCATGCACCAGCACACTTTCCCCAGCTTTGGCACAGCCTCTGGGTGAAGAACACAGGACATATTGGTGTTGTGAGTGCAGTACACACTGACTGAGTACCAGGGTGCAGATTCTGACCAATGCAGACACTGATCAAACCTCATCGTTCACACAGCATTTCCAATTTATGTTCCAATTTATATTCCAAACTATGCTCCAATTTATGGCTAAACAGGTATCATAAGCCTTTTAAGGAGAACAAGGAGGCAAAATAAACCCTGTGACTGATGACATGAAGCAACATGCAGCCAGCAGCCAGTGACAGCCCAGTACTGAGCCTCAGCCTGGAACCTTCCTCTGTCCCAGGAAAGTGGTGGTTCTGCTCCACAGTACCTGGCTGCTTTATTAGGAAATTAGAACTATTCCTGCTTTTCTTCCTTGGCTAAAATACCAGTGAGTACTGAAAAGCAGCCATATGTTTTATTACATGAAGCCTTTCCAAGTCTGTTTTCTTAAGAAGAAACACTTAACAGGAAAAGACAGTCACAGGCTTCTAGGTCACAATCATCTGACAATTCCATCAGCGTAATGAATTCAAGTGTCTTGAACATTTCCCACTCATCAATTTCCCCATTTTACAGGACAATGAAAATATGAATTTGGGTATTTTAAATATTAAAAATTAAAGTGCACAAACTTGGATTTGGTGCCTTACTTCTGGAAGAGGGCCCGGTAGGCAGTGAAGTAGGGGACACCGAGCGCTGCTCCCTGCCTGAAGTCCAGCTTGTCTGGCAAAGGAAAGACTCTGTTGGCTGCAGCAACTGCATACTCTGCATATCCTCCAGAAACCGTTTCAAGGGTGAAAACCCTGTCCCCTTTCTAGAACAGAGGGAGAGAATATAGAGAAATCAATCATTTCCCTTCCTTTTTCCTTAACAAACATTATGAACCAATTCACAGAGGTTTAGGCTATTACTAACAGCTCTCCTATTAAAAATAACCAGTTATATTTGTCATAGAAATTTTTATAAATGCTGATACATACCATCAATGCAACACAAACCATATAATTCCATATACTTAATTTAAAGTGTCATAATTATAACCCTGCTCTGCAGTGTAACACACAAACCTACAGTCTCATTAATATGAACCTTAATGAACTTGAACACTCAGGAATTCCATCCACAGATTTCAAATGCAAAACCTCAAAAGCTTTCATGAACATAAAAGAAATGTTTCTAAATTATTTAATTTTAATGTGGAAAAACATATATTCTTAATATACCCAAAGACACTTCTCTCTCATTCAAGCCAGGAGCATCACGACTGCCATAGGAAGCAAAAAACACACATAGCAGATACAGCAGACTGTTGATAAGAAAATATGAATAAAGATGATCCTTCTCTCTAGATAACCAAATCACCGAGGTCTCCCAAAATTGTTACATTCATCCCAAATCAGGAAATTCCAGCACAATTCTAACTACGATTATGTTTGGTTGGGATCAACCATCTAGTGACTTGAACAGGAGAACAGATTTGGAAACTATACAAATGTCATAGATACCTTTTAGCAAACTGATATTTGCCTTCTCCTGTCACAAGACTTTCCTCCATAGAAATCCAAGTAAAATTACTACACTGGAGCAATGCAGTATTTGAACAGTTTTAACAACAAATACTTAATGGGGTTTTACAAGTAAGCAATTTCCATTTCCCAAAAAACTTCACAGAAAATTTTTCAGTTCTGCATGAAATTATTATCCCCAGCAGGAAGCATCCAATCTCAACTACTTCTGCAGTGCAGAAACCCAACTTTTGTACACCTGATGTCACTCCTTTAAGGAGACAGACAGCAGCTGCCTCTTCTGAGACCTTTGAGCTCCCAGAGGTCACAGCATTCCTCACAGTCCCACCTGCAGACTGGCTTGCCAATGGGATCCCACTGCGTGCTTTTACCAGTCCATGAAGGGGATTCCCCCCTTGAAGAGATTACATGATTATAAGCAAAAGAACCAGGCACAGTAGCACAGCAATCACCCAAAGAGGATACAATAAACAATAGGGAATTAAAGCTCAGTGTGTAAATACCTTGAATGCAGTCACGTGTTCCCCAACACTCTCGATCACCCCAGACACATCCGAGCCTGGGGTGTAGGGCAAAGCCGGTTTCCTGGCGTAAGTCCCAGAACGAATATATGTCTCAACAGGATTTACCCCACAGGCATGGACTTTAATTAACACCTACAAGAAAAGATGCTTCTTAAGCAGCAAGCAGAAAGATTTAGCCGTTTAATTCACAGCACAGCATCATGGCACTTTAACTGAATTCTCAAACAGCCTCTGCGACAACCCAGTGTCGAACTGGAGCTACTTTCAGGAAACCCTTGGTGTGGAATATGTAGCCCACAGAACAGTAAAGAGCCCACATTTGTCAAGCATGATGTCTCAGGGAGTACGAACACACTGATCAAACCCCATGTACTCCAGATGAAGAGTTCTGGGTTGCATCCCTCATTCTGTCCTGCGGGCACCTGTTACCATTCATTACTGCTATTTATTTCCCTTCACAGAGCACACATATACCTGGTTTTCTTTTGGAACAGGAATTAACACATCCGACTGGAGTTTAAGTACTTCAGGGCCACCAAATTCAAACACTCTGATCGCTCTCATCACTCTGCTGGTGGCTGCCATGGCGACTAGAGGATCTGGGGAAAAACACGACAGTAATATCCCTGGTTCGTGCTCAGGTCAGGGAGAGCCTGAGTCCCCAGGACGTGCCCTGCGGACACCGCCCGGGACACGGCACAGCCCACGGGCCAAAGGGCGGCTCGGCCTCGTGATAATGAACCGATCCAGAGGGAGGGGGAGGAGGGGAGGGGCCCGAGGTGCCCAGGGTCTCCCGCTCAGAGCAGCTTCCGGGAGCCGGGCATGGTGCGGACGGGAAGCACAGCACGAGTCCGTCTCCCGCGGGGCACAGCCGCCGGAAAAGGACGGCTGGCCGGGGCCCGGCCGACCCGGCGCTCGCGGACGCCCCCTCCCGCTCCGGGCATGCCCCAGCACGCCCCCCTGCCGGGCCCGCCCCTGGCGCGCTTCGCTCCAGGCCGCCCCCCGAGGCCTGTCTTCGCGGTCAGGCCCCGCCCCTTTGAGCCGCCCCACGGCCGTCGCCGCTTAGAGGGCCGGGGGCGGTTGGCCGCCGCGGGCTGCAGGAGCCGAAGGGGCAGCGCGGCGGCCGCCGCCGCCCGGTCCCGTCCCCCGGGGAGCACCGGAGCTCGCGCCCCCGCCCACTTGCGGGGGCGCGCAGCACGCGCGCCGAAGGCGTGGCAGGCGGAGGGGCGGGGGGGCCATCCCGCGCCGCCCGGCAGTCGGCCGCCGCGCGAAGTTTGTCCCCGCGCAGCCGCGTCCCGCGCCATGGAAGGCAGTTCGCGCGGCGCAAGGGCAGCGGCTCGCGCGGCCGACCTTAGCCGCAAGGCGCGCGCTGGCGGCGTGCCGCGGAGCTCGGGCGGCTCCTGACGCGCACGAGGCGTTCTGCACCACAGCCTCGTCGACGGGCGGTTTCCTGCTGGCAGGTGGGATACGGGTGATTACCGCAGGGTTCGGGGGGGGCGGCATGACGGGGGCGGGGCTGGCTGTCCGCGGATCGGGTCCCGCTGTTGCCGGTGCTTCCCTGTCCGTGCTCAGCTGAGTATCAGTGGCCGGGACACCACAACCCGGCCGGTGCCGGGCAGAGCCAGCCGAGCAGTGTTCCTGTGAATGGGCTCTGCGGGCAAAGCGACGCTCCTGGCTCGGAAGAGCCGGATGAAACATCACCGACCCGCAGAGCCCATTCCCTGGTTTCTGTCCATCAGGACACGGACGGCGGCGGGATCCAGAAGAAGAACTGCACTTGGCTCCTGGTAACACATGACCCATGTGCCAAAGGCGATGTGGTAAGAGCAGAGTAGGATACAGCTTTTGTATTTATTCATTTGCAGTGCTCGTGGTGTCATGGAAAACACGTGAAAGAGTTTTTATTCCTAATGCTGAGATGAATTGCCCCTCTTTCAAAATTAAATTTTCTTTAGGGGTGTTGCTTAATAAATTCTTCAGACCCGTTTTGAAGAGAATGTTTTTAAGTTCAAGCTTTTCTGTCTCAAAGTGACATTTCTGAATAGAAAAAAATATTCCCAGCCCTCGAGGTTTCTCTGCACAGCAGAGAAAAGCAGATAAACTGTCTTTGTGAGCTGTGCAGGATGTCAGAGAGCTGTCTGCACACCCACAGATCCAGGAAAATCTGCCACTAGCATCTCTGTCTTCTGGCAGAACTGAGGGGTCTGAAGGGGATATCTTCAATTTTATGATTATAAAGTTACTTCTTTTTTTCTAGTCTTGTGGGTTTATGCCTCTAATTTCAACCTCTGAATTTGTCTTTATAACTCTCATATATTAGGCTACACACTGGTATTTGAGAAAGGATTAAAGTGTGGTTGAGTATGTTAGGCCATGGATTTAGTCTGCTGAAACCCAGAATGTTGAGGAATGTACTTCAGCAACTAAATGTCTTTGATTCTAAAGAACAGTAAAAAAAAATCCCTGCTCAATCACCTAATTGCAGCAGAACAGTCATTGTCCCTTGCTGGACTGATGGTGTCGATGTTTGGATGTACAAAGGGAAAACAAGAAGGATGAAGCACAGTTTTTAATGTCTGTTTTGCCATGAATTTCTATCAAACCTGATCAGTTTAGCAAACAGAATCAGGGAAATCCATGGAGTTTCTGTGTATTGTGAGCAATGAAAACTTAAAAGCAGCTGATCAAACCTGACTGCTTGGGACTCATTTGCTGCATTTTTGGTGCTTGTTTCATACACAGACTAGCTTTTTCTTTTTTGCCTTTTTTTTTTTTTTTTTGCAATAACAGTACACACTTGCAGTGTTAATATAAATGTTTTGGTGTATTTTCCAGATGACAGCACTAGAGAAGTCCACTGGAGACGTTGTATTCAAGTTTGAACCATTTGTTCTTCACGTGCTGTGTCGGGAGCTGCAGGATGCACAGCTGCTGGTAAAACCACGTCAAGCACAATGTGACATTGTTGCTCTGTTACATTCCTACCTGTAAAAGTAAAAGGATTGGCTCCTGGTTAAGCTGTAACACTTAGGAATAGTCCCAGATGTGCTGTGTGTTTAACAACTGAGATAGTAAAATCAGCTGATGAGGAAAACAGATCTTTAAACTTGGTGGAGATTTTGCTGTGCATAGAAAGCAAAATGACTCACCTTTGAGCTGAAGAGGGCCGCCCATAAAACATTTCCCAGGGAGCCTGAGATTCTCTCACTGGCTGAAAGGGATGGATTTTAGGCATTGCTTTGCTACCATCCAGGCCATTTGTCTCCATTTGCAATGAATTGAGTGGCACCTTTGTGTTCTGCTTCTTCAGCATGACCGAAGAGCAGTGTGTGCCGTGCCAGGCTCATTCCCTCATTAGCACAGGAGAGCTGATGAACTCAGTGTACAGTGCTGCTGCCCTCACAGCTATAGACATGTGGCACAACTGTGTGTGCTTCCAGCTCGTTGGGATAAAGCAACTCAGTGCTCAGAGAGACATTGTGTCCCATCTGCACTGATGGATTCAGACAATCAGGATGCACCATGGGTCTCTGAAAATCACCCACAGTTTGTGGGCTTGATCTTAAGGACATTTTAATTTAACTATTTTTTGTCAGTCTGTGGAGATGGTTTTGAGTAAGTTTTTTGCAAAACCAAGATTGCAAGTTGCATTGCAACCCATTCATAATTATTTTTTGCTGTGAAAGTGTACAAGACCTGTTTAAGCACTTATTTGTTCTGCAGCATTCAGTGGCTGTTGATTCTGGATTCAGGAACTCCGGTATTACGGTTGGCAGAGGAGGAAAAATTACTATGGTAAGGACTCTGCTACTGTAAGGGATGTAACAAAGTCATATCATTATGTTAACCTTGGCTTTTTACCAGCTGAGATCTAACTTGTGCTGAACAGCTGTCACAGGGCATGCTGTAGCAAAGAAATAGCTTTCTGCTTTAGGTGAGAGCAAACTAACCAATTTTATGGATAAGCAGGTTTTTTCCTGCAGTGAACTCCCTATATTATTTAAATAACCTTCATAAAGTAAAAAAACTTTGTTCCAGATAAGTCCTGTGTGCTTTTTCAGGCTGTCCGGAGCACTCACTGCTTAGAAGTTCCATTGAGCCACAAGGGGAGATTGATGGTCTCTGACGAATATATTGAATTTCTGGTACAGGTAGCCAATCAGAAAATGGAAGAAAACATAAGGAGGATTGAGAGGTTTGTAAGATTATACCATGTAATGATGTAATGTTCATGACCTTGAGTTTTTTTTCAGGATCAGCTAAAACCACTTTTCTTCTCCTTGCACGTCTTGATTAAATTCCAAAAGCATTAGTTTCTCAGAGGAGTTTTGTAGCAAACCTACAAAATAGTAAATACAAAATTTTTTCTTTCTAGATTCTACAAGGGCTTGGAGTTGGCTCTGGAGACTGCTGTCCCTACAGACACCTTGGCTCCCAACGGGCCAGAGAAGAGCCGCTCTGTGTATGTGCACAGGAGAAAGAGACAGACCATTCGGGAACAGGCCGATCCCAGTGGAGAGCTGGAGCCCCAGGATGATACTGAAAGCAGTCTGGATCTGTTTGCCGAAATCATGATATAGACTAAGGCATTCGAAAGCAAATGGCAAACTGGCTGTATGCTCTTTGTAAGAGGTTTATATACTGTTGTGCTCTCAGTAGTAACACTCCCATGGACATTGACCAGAAAAAAGGTAATTAACAGAATGGCGAGCAGGTATAATGCTACCGGGCACAGAGAACAAAGCCTTAGAATGTGTTGGGTTTTTTTAACTGTACTGTTGAATTAACAGACTTCTACTCCATCTGCCAGTTATCCCAGAATAACAGGTTTGCTGCAGCCTTTGGCCATGTTCTCTGTGGCAGCATTTCACTTCCAACTTTGTTTTTGCAGAGCAGAGAAACTCTAAAAACTGAGTTGTTTTCCCCAAAGGTTGTTACTCCCTGCAGGACCTCTGCAGAGCAGCATGCACCAGCATGGCTGGCCCTTCCTGGCAGCACAGGGCCAGCTGTTAGTCACCTGCAGAGTATACCTGGGGCAGAGGTTAGGACAGAAAAGCATGAGTTGGGTACTGCTCTGTACCAGCCTCAGCCGGGTGCATCCAGATCCCTCCTGGCTGCTGCACTAGCAGCTGCTGTTTCCCTGCTCTTTGCTGTGTCTTGGGCTCCAGCCCTACTGTGTGCACTCCAATTCCCATAACCACTGGCCACTCAGTACCATTTTTCCTTGCCCCTTTAGCCAGCTCTGTGTGCTGATGGCCCCTTCCCCTCACAGAGCCCCTGCACTCTGCAGCCAGCACCCGGCCAAAGTCACCCCAAGGGCTGGGCTGGACTGGGCTGAGAACCACTGACTACAGGAACTGTTATATACAAACAGTGCAGCACTGTGTGCATTCCTTGTTGTGCCACTGGTAAAGGCACTCCATGCTCGTGTATTTTTTAGAAAAATGCTGAATTTGTAAACCTTCCAAGCTGTCTTGTTGACTGAGTGATAGCTTACACTGCAGAGCCAGACCCTGACTGAAGGAGGTGGTTTATTTGTGCACGAACTCCCAGGCCATGCAGAGAGGGACGTCACTGTTTCTATTACATGAGCTTCTGTCTTTGGGGGCATTTTAATTCCACTGCAAAAACTGAACATACTCCGTGGCAGCCTCAGGGAAGAGTAATTGGGGCACTGAGTAGATTCTGAAAGACCCGTTGGGCTGTTTCCAGTCACAGGTGCACCAGAAGAAAGGAACTGGAGCCTCTTGTGTATTTGTCTTGCTGACTTCAAGCTCAGATATTCTCCTTCTGGGCACTTGAAACACCTCAGCATGTGGCTGGGGCATGGGAAGGGGAAAGGCCAGTGCCCTTCTGTCCTTGTAAGTTTGCTGCTACGTCCAGTTGAGGTGCTTGTCAGCACGAACAGCATGTCACAGAACACACGGGTGCTGCTGGTTTCTCCTTCAGGGAAGGAGAGGTGCTGGCGACAAATACTGAAGACCGAAGACCATTGGCTTGTGAGATAGCCAATATGTGAGGTGGAAATTCGACAGAAACCTTCCAAAGCATCCCTGTGTGCACTGGTCTCAGACCTCATGTGCATTTGGGAGAACTAACCATGGTTCCATTCTGACTGAACACGGGGGAGGCATTTCTGACATTGCAGAACTGCTGGCCAGGAGGTGGGTGAGCAAAGCCCAAGTCCCTTAGCCTGTGGGGCAGCAGCCAGATGGTGAGAGCAGGCAAGGGTCCCACAGCAGGGCAAGGGACAACAGCTCCTCAAGTGTGGTGACATGGCTTCTGCCACAGGTGTTGCTGGAGCAGTGTTAGGGCGGAGGCTCGTGTCAGACCTTTGCAGTCACCATGCTTACAGACCTTCCTCTCTCCGTTCTGAGGCTCAGCCGCCTCTGGGCTGAACTGAAACCCCAGGGTTTCAGCAACATCTGCCTCCGTGCAGAGGGGCCTTCCCAGCCTGCTGCCACAGCCAAGTGCTGTGAAGCCACAGGCTGTCCCTGTCCCCATCGCCACTGGTGGGGATCCCACCATTCTGGCAGGTCCCTCCTCACTACCCGGGAAGCAGCTCCTGTGCACAGAGGAGGAGGCTGTTGCTGTGGATTTTAAGGAGTTTGTTTGGAACAGTCTGAACCCTCCTCTGCATGTGACATTTCCTAAAGGTCTGGCTGTGGTCTGTTGGACGTGGCTCAAGGGACTGGCAGCACCAGCACCAACCACAAGCAGTGCCCACAGACGTTGCCAAGCTGTCAGGTCTCATCACACATGGGAAGGGAAAATTCAGCACTGAAAAAGCAGAGATACAAAGAAACCATATCAGACTTCAAGCCCAGCCCACAGAACCCACATTCCTGGGATAGAGAGGCCTGTTCCCAAATCCAGAGCCAGTTAATTCCCAATGTGTACAGTCACCTGTGCAAGGTGGGAGAGGGATCACAGATGCTAATAGTGTGTGTAAACCAGGACCTTGGTGTGCCTTTGAGGGCAGAGTAGGGTTGTGTATTGGTAGGAAAGGGTATTCAGTGCAAGTAAATTTTTTGGGAAGCTTCTTTTTAGCTTTTTCTTCCCAACACTACAATAACATCCCAAACCCTTGCACTGTGTAATAGCAGCACAGGATTTACATTCTTAGAAATACAGTTTGTCAGAAACTGACATGTGATACAATCCCACATTCCTCTGAAAAATGATGCAAAATTCATGAAGATTTTTTTGGCAGTCTTAACCTAGAAATGTTACCCTAACTGTTGACATCTTGTTACTTTATTCCCATCATCTCCAACGGTTGAAGACAATTGGCAACCTCATACAAAAAATCCAAAACAAGAGCCCACAACAAGAAAAATAAACAGTCTCATGATTCTCAGGGAAAGATCAGGGAATTTTTTTACTTCACTGCTTAAAATGTAGAACAGTTTTTACAAGGATTGTCTGATTTTTTTACACTGCATCCAAGGTTGCAGAGGGCAATGCTGAGGTGGTTTCAACACCCTGCAGCCACTCCAGGAAGGAGCACAGCCCCAGCACCACCTCCTCTGTGCACCACTGCCCTTCCCAGCCCTTCCCTGCCCGTACACTGGGGATCACCACACCTTATCCCAGGCTCACCCAAGTTACACCTGTTCTTTTTGAAGTTAATTTTGTCAAGTTGTGTTTCATTTCCAGCTGCTCTAAGCAATTCTGTTGGGCTGTAAATGCCATCTGCAGCTGCAGAGTGCAGGCAGCCAGCGGGCAGACCAGCCACAGGCAGTGGGAGGCAGCACCACTGAAAAGGTGACTCTAGGGGTCATGGCCAAAGGAAAATCCACTGATAGGCAACAACACTTCTAAAACTGGCAAATCTTTACCATTTGTAAGTGTGCTTAGCCACTTAATTAACCTAAAAGGTATTTTCATCTCAATTTTCATATTTGCTCTTGCTGTGTTAAATTTTTTAAAATTACAATTTCATTCCCTGTGCACTCAGTTGTTTCGAGGGAGGCAGATGGGTTCATTCACTCCAGCAACTGCTAGTCTTTTCTCATCCATAGCATTTTGCATCCACACCAGGAAACCACTCAAATCAGAGCCACAGTGTTCCCAGCTGGTTGTTCCGCAGGTTCCATGCCCGTTGTGCTCCCCAGTGCATCCAGGCACTTGGGCACAAAGTCACTTGACTGATTCACCAGGATAATTCTGTACATGCAAATCACAGATGTCATACACACAAGTATTCGCTTGAAATAGCTTCTTCCTCTGAAACTCAAGTACTTAAATCAGTTTACAAGAGGATGACAGTAACAGCTACAGAGTGCACTGAAATCGGTGTTTTCATGTGGGGTTAAACCTCTGTGGACGGGGCAGCTTCTCAGCTCTCATCCTCCACTCCTGCCAGGGCTTGATTTGAATTTGCCCAAGTTCACACATTTAACAACAACATACAATTGTATGAAATTCGGTTTCAAGTTTTTAAAATTGCTTTATTGTGTTAAAGGTACTGTGCACTGGAGGCTTAGCAGCTCTTTGGTACTTTTGGTTACTGAAAATACACAACTACTTTGCAACACGCTGTCAATTCGATTTTACATAATGGGATATTAGGGGAAATGTTTTAATTCTGCTCTACCCATAGTTGAAATTGCCTCGGTGCAGCATGCTGGGGTTTTTGTGAAAGAGCCTTTGAAAAAAAAATTGTGCCTCCAAAAAAATTAGATAATCGCATGCCTAAATTTCCTGAGCTGCCCACTTAATTTCTTCATATCAAGAGAAAGTAAAGCCTGTAAGAATTGCTGTCAAACATACCAGCTGTGGTGTGGCAGCAGGCAGCTACCTGGTGTCAAGGTCAGAGAATCCTCAGCTCTTTTTTTAAATCAGAAAACACCACCCAAATTACACAAAAGCTTTTATTTTGCTTTCTGGGTGCAGTGTATTTATGGTACCTGAGCAGATACACTATTTTGGGCAATTTTATACTGAAAGGATAAAAATCTTATTTTGTTTTCATTTTCTGCAGGATCCCGTGAAAAGAGAATTTTTTTTTTTCTCAAAACCAAGTTTTATAGTCACCGTAATTGGGTTTTTTGCAAAGGAATTCTGACAGCTCAGAGCCCGGTGGTTGCATGGAGCAGATACCCTCGCAGGAGCAGATACCCGCTCCGTCCCGGCGGCACCGCCGGGCTCTCCCGCAGCCGCACCGGGCGGCGGGCGCAGCGCTGCTCGGTACATCCCCTCCGTGCGCAGGTGACATCCCCGCTCTGCCTCAGGGATTCGGGCAGGGGAGGAAGGTGTCGGCACAACCCTAGCTGACGGCGGGCGACAATTAATACAGGCACCGGAGTTCGCTCCGTGTGTAACAGAGTAGGATTTTTCGTTTCTCTAAATAAGCACCTAATAAATTCCGTTTTACCGTATTTTAACACCGCATGGGGACTGCAGCTGTCCGCGCCTGCCCCGGCCCGCCGGTCCCTCCGGAGCTTGACCCCCTGGTGGGTGTCGGGCAGCGGCGGGACCCGGAGCGGGGGACGGGGCCAGCGGGGACACCGAGCGATGGAACCGAGCGAGCGGCGGGGCCCCCGCGGCCGCCGGTCCCGCTCCCCGCCCCGCTGCGCTCGGGGCCGGTGAGCTCACCCCAGGGTCCGTGCGAGAGATCAGCGGCTCTCCTCAGTCACACTCGGGTTGGCAGCAGGAGCCAACCCGAAATATCGAACTGCCGGCAAGCAAAAACCCGTTTTCCTTGAGATGACCAGCAATTCTCCGCTAATGGAGATATAAATGGCCCCATCGCTTCCCAGCTGCCCGTCCCCGATCGATTCTGCATCGATATTACACGGGCAGCATATAATCTGCTCATTTAAATATTTTTGCATAACAT